CAATTGAATGTGACACGAGAAGCCGTCTCCATACGTTTGAAATCCATGGGAAAGATCCAGAAGATGAGAAAATGGGTTCCACATGAACTGAATGAAAGACAGCAGGAAAACCGAAAAACCACTTGCGAAATGCTGCTCGCCAGGTACAAAAGAAAGTCATTTCTCCATCGAATTGTGACTGGTGATGAAAAGTGGATATATTTTGAGAATCTTAAGCGTAAAAGATCATGGGTAACTCCAGTCAAACCGTCGACATCGACTGCAAGGCCAAATCGCTATGGACGGAAGACAATGTTCTGTGTTTGGTAGGATCAGAAAGGTGTGATCTATTATGAGCTGCTAAAACCTGGCGAAACCGTTAATACTGAACGCTACCGACAACAAATGATCAATTTGAATCAAGCTTTGCGTGAAAAACGACCGGAATATCAAAAAAGGAAACACAAAATGATTTTGCTTCATGCTAATGCACCATCACACACAGCAAAACTGATCAAGGAAACGATTGAGGCGTTTGGTTGGGAAATATTTTCGTATACGGCTTACCCACCAGACTTGGCTTCGTCCGATTATTACTTATTTGCATCGATGGGACACGCACTTGCTCAGCAGCGCTTCACTTCTTACGAAGATGTACGAAAATGGCTAGATGACTGGTTTGGCTCAAAAGAACAACAATTTTTTTGGCGTGGCATCCACAAATTGTCGGACAGGGAAAAATGTATATCTATAGCGATGGGTAATACTTCGAATAAAATATTTTTTATTTTATTTTCATGCAATAAACGTGTATTTTCCATTAAAAAACTCCGGTTTCATATTTACATACCTGGTAAGGATATCACAAAGAATCTCAATGTGAGCATGGCTTTCTTTAGTCTTAACAAGCTTAACTGTTTTATTAAAACGCACAAAGATCCGTTACCGAACATGGCAAAAAAGCATATAGTTTATAAAATTAATTGCAATAATTGTGATGCTTCGTATGTCGGCCAGACAAAGCGGAAGTTAAAAACGAGGATCACAGAACACCGAAATGATATTAGAAAAAGCAATAATAATTATTCAGTTGTTACAAGATACAGATTGGAGCATGGCCACGATTTTGATTTGGAGAACATTGAGATTGTCGATAGCGAACGATATATAGACGACGTATTTCTGAAATGCTACACATGAAGTTACAAAAGAACGGTCTAAATCTACAATTTGACACGGAATTTTTATATCACGCGTATATTTCAATTCTTGACAATTTACATTAATTTCAATGATATGTTGCACTAGGTCGTATTTCTATGCTTGTAATGTTCAGATGTATCGTCTTTGTTTTTTATTGTTTAATATAGCTACATGAAAATCGACGCTTAAGTTAAATCTTTGACAGTTACTCATTTGATCGCTAACTGTCGTCTTGTTGACGCACATAACTTATCACTAAATATGGATACGGATATACAGCGAAATTAATTTAATTCTAATTGATTACGTTCACGGTTTGATAGGTGAGTGATTTTTCTAAAGTTTTTATTTATTTTACATTCTTCCTTTATACCTTAATAATGGTTGGATTATAATCCATAAATAATTATTTATATAGAGAGAGAGAATTCATTTTCAATTTATTTGGTCGCCTGATCTGTTAACCTGGTGTCTTTATAAATGAAGCGGAATGATTGGGCACTCTCCCATCTGACCAGCTAAGAATTTTGGTTGTATATGGATCAGATCTGAGGATGGCTCGAATGTAAGACGAAACGTCTGATTTTTTCGAATTTAATAAATCATTAACTCGCACGACTTACCGCGAAAAAACTCTCATTAGCCTGTTCTCTGTTTATATTTTGACTTTCTCGAGAGTTTACTTGTATTTCTTATGTTTAACGTTAAACTATTAAAACATTTACATTCCAAGTCTTGCAATACTATATTAGCTATGGTAGGTGATAGCGGAGAGCCCATTGGAATGCCAAATGTTTGTCTATAGAAAGTGTTATTAAACGTAAAATAAGTAGAATCCAATACTAATTGTATGGCTATACAATTAGTATTGGAATATATAATAAACTCCTTTTTGTTTAGAATCGTTTTCTTTTTTATTTCATCCCATATACACTACTCACAAAAATTAGAGGAACACTTAATTTTTTGTAAAAATTAGACAAAATTTAGGCAGCTGTAACTTCGTTAAAAATGAATGAAATTTGAATTTAAAAAAAGAGTATTAACGCTTAAAATTTCTATTTTCGAAAGGTTACTATTTTTTATTAGTTTCTGCGAGTTTAGTAATTTTTACGCATAGAAAACTATAAACTGAACGAAACGAGAAATTTTTATCTCACTTTGTGGACTTGTCACGTGCGAAGAAAAAATCTGCGAAAATTTTCTATTCTCTCATATAAAAGCTTGAAGTTTTCCCTACAAAATCGTTTTTTAAAAATGTTTCTACGATTTTCTGTTACTGAATTATCGTGGAATAAGTACAAAGTGAGTACTTTGACTTTGATTGCTCATTATTCCGTTAAAAATCATTGTATCGCAATTTTAAAAAAAGATTTTTAAAGCTAAAACTTTGCTCTATCTGATGGTGTTGTTGCCAAAATTTTTTATGATACACGTAAATATAATACAAATGATTTAAAATATCGTAAAATTAGCAATTTTTCCCTTTTTTATTTTCACTCAGAAAAAAATTGTGTGGATCAACAAAAATTTTTCTTCACGTTTTTTTGTGCTTCTAAGTAGTATCCTGCATTTATAAAAAATTCGTTGCATAGCTATGAGATTCTTTTCGTGGTGGCCACTATGGTTTTATGATACAAAACGTACAAAAAAATTCGAAAATTGCTTAATTTCAGTGGAAAAAAAAGAAAAAAAGAAAAAAATAAAGTTTAATTAACGTTGAAAAATGAATTTCTATTGTATCGACACTATACTGATTTTTATTAAGCGTCGGTATGAATAAATTTGTTTTTTTTTTTCACTGAAATTTGAAAAGATACCGCCGGCGTTAGCGTTATCCAAAGCGTACCACGAGGAGGTCGGACGGTCGGATTTACGCTTCGTTGTGTGCGTGATTGAGTGTGTGTATATGTGTGTGATTGTGTGTGTGTCACAGCAGAGATAAGGACCCCACGGTTCGTCACTTCCGCAGTATTTACTGACTCCAAACCCTCTCTGCCGTGTGTGTATTTGAAATGTATGCATGATAAGATTAAAATTCATGTTGTTTTTCATATACTGTTTTCAAATACTGTTAGTACCGAAAATCTACAATATGAGTAATTATCAAATTAAAAAGGTTCAATTGGGCTCTCAAAATATAATCAAATAAGAGCTCTGATAAGCGAACCTAAATCAGCGATGTTGGGATAGTTTTCGCGTACTCTACGTTCTAACATATCCCAAATATGCTCGATCGAGCTCTTACGCGAACCTGGCAGCGATTCCACAAATAGCAATACGTCGTTGCATCAATATGCGAAACCGACTGCGTGCAGTCATTTTAAATAGAGGCGGAAATACGCGTTATTAAACTTATCCTTTCAGGATATGTTTCGATACTGTTAGTACTGAAAATAGTTCACGTATAATTACTCATATTGTAAATTTTTGGTACTAACAGTATTGAAAAACAACATGAATTTTAATCTTATCATGCATACATTTCAAATACACACACGGCAGAGAGGGTTTGGAGTCAGTAAATACTGCGGAAGTGACGAACCGTGGGGTCCTTATCTCTGCTGTGACACACACACACACACACACACACACACACACACACTCAATCACGCACACAACGAAGCGTAAATCCGACCGTCCGACCTCCTCGTAGTACGCTTTGGATAACGCTAACGCCGGCGGTATCTTTTCAAATTTCAGTGAAAAAAAAACAAATTTATTCATACTGACGCTTAATAAAAATCAGTGTCGATACAATAGAAATTCATTTTTCAACGTTAATTGAACTTTATTTTTTTTTTCTTTTTTTTCCACTGAAATTAAGCAATTTTCGAATTTTTTTTTACGTTTTGTATCATAAAACCATAGTGGCCACCACGAAAAGAATCTCATAGCTATGCAACGAATTTTTTATAAATGCAGGATACTTAGAAGCACAAAAAAACGTGAAGAATAAATTTTTGTTGATCCACACAATTTTTTCTGAGTGAAAATGAAAAAGGGAAAAATTGCTAATTTTACGATATTTTAAATCGTTTGTATTATATTTACGTGTTTCATAAAAAGTTTTGGCAACAACACCATCAGATAGAGCAAAGTTTTATCTTTAAAAATCTTTTTTTAAAATTGCGGTACGATGATTTTTAACGGAATAATGAGCAATCAAAGTCAAAGTACTCACTTTGTACTTATTCCACGATAATTCAGTAACAGAAAATCGTAGAAACATTTTTAAAAAACGATTTTGTAGGGAAAACTTCAAGCTTTTATATGAGAGAATAGAAAATTTTCGCAGATATTTTCTTCGCACGTGACAAGTCCACAAAGTGAGATAAAAATTTCTCGTTTCGTTCAGTTTATAGTTTTCTATGCGTAAAAATTACTAAATTCGCAGAAACTAATAAAAAATAGTAACCTTTCGAAAATAGAAATTTTAAGCGTTAATACTCTTTTTTTAAATTCAAATTTCATTCATTTTTAACGAAGTTGCAGCTGCCTAAATTTTGTCTAATTTTTACAAAAAATTAAGTGTTTCTCTAATTTTTGTGAGTAGTGTATATGTGTATTACATGTTTTATAACATATTTTTATCATATTATATTTATGTATTTATGTGTCAGAAAAGAATTTCTCATAATGTCCAAATAAAGGACAGTAAAGGACAATATTGAAAAATAAATTACAAAATTGAGTTTTGGAGGAACGAATAAATACAAAGTACAGTTACTTAAAATATAGGACTATCCTTTACAATAACGGATGTGTAGTCATCATACTTATATTATTCCGAAAAGAAGTAATTTATAAATTATTACCCTCATTGGAATATAATTGTAGGTATAATCGAAAATAGGGCACATTAATTTGGTTGAAAACAAACCACTGTCAATAAGGTCGTATGTTAACCACGCATTTGCCATAATTTGAACGATATTATACAACTTCATAAACTTCTTTAATGAATATGGCTGTCTGTTCTTCATGAATCGGGGCCCGTAGCTGAACACGAAGTACAAGTATGCCAATATTATCAATGGTACTTGATAGGAAGAAGCGATTAACGGTAGATCGGCTACCCGTGGATCTGAAAATCAAATACATTGAAAGATTTATGAACATCTATCAAACAATAAAAAGAAAAGACAAAAATATTATTATGGCAATAGGAAACGATCAATTATTAAGACATTGCATTTTTATTAGTATTTAAGTTTTCGGCGTATATAAAATAAAATTGAATCGATACGCTACAATATCAGAATTGGCGAATTATGGATGTTTTGCAATTATTTATTAAGGAGGGTGGATAAAAATTGTCGATTTTTGTTCCCAATCGAGAAGTGAAATATGTATGTTTTTTTATAGTTTTTGAGCTGCAGAATCACATGGAGAAATCAGTTTTTCATAAATATGAAGGGAACATGTAACAATGAGATTGAAGTGAATTTAAATTAGCATACCCAAATAACACAGCAGCGCTAGCAAAACGCTAAAAAGGTGATTATATGCGTTTTTTTAGCACTTTGTTAACGCTTTGTAAGCGCCGTGTGCTACTTGGGTAAGATTTTTGTCATGAAAATGAAATACATAAAGATCCTTTTTAATATTTTAACTCTTAAAAGCTATCAAATATATAACATTTTGTTATGATATAGTTGAAATAAAGAAGGAAACAAACGTACGGAAACTCGAAGGATGTAAAACGAGAATCAGATGCACGCGTTTTGCACGTCATCTTCCCGCCTTCTTAAACTCTAAACTCTTAAAGCTTCTAAACTTCAGGCTCATAAATCTTAATCTGAAAACCCAGATACTTCAGTTTCATACGATTAAACTCTAGATATATAAATCCCAGTCCATTAATAACAATTAAATTATCAATTTAATGCGATTATAGTTGACCTTTGATATCAATTCTACTCATACCGTCGGTATCAGCATTACTTAATGTACACCGCGAGGAGGTCGCGCGATCGGTTTTTGCACATCATTTGGCTCTAAAAAGGACCAATTCTAATTCATATTTTGAGAATCACGGATCCTGATTTGTGCTAGTTATCGATATCCTTGTCTAGCATATGGCAATGCTCGGTCTATCTATACTATGTCTATGATTTATATATATTCAAGGTATATAATATCTGTACAATATGGATGTTAAGATTAATTAGATGAGATTATGTTATTTCAGATTATATATCGTTATGTGCAGGGCCGTGCAAAGAGTTACTGAAATCCTACTGCAAAGATAAATATGTGGGGCCCTACCTTTTCATAAAGTTCGTATTAAAAAAAGTAATATTATTAAGGCTCAATAAATTTAAAAAACTTTAGAAGGCAAAAGGGCTACGAGCCTGAAATTTTGTCGTTAAAAATATAAAGTTTGAAATAAAAATAATACATCACATATAATTATATTTTAACAAGTTTAATGTGATGGTAAATAGAACAATTTAACGCAAAAATAAACAAACGTTTCGATCCATATCGGATCATTATCAATGTTATATATAAACATAAAACAATACAATATTACAAGAATATAAAAATTATATAATCGCTCTAGATCGCAAACTTAAATGTAAGTAAATGGAAGAACTTGAGATGTAATAAGTCAGTATGTATGTTCCAATCCGGCAACAATTTAAATCTTTCGGCATTGTGTGTGGAAAAATTAATTTAATGTCTGCTAAAAATTTACTAAATGTAGCAAAACACAAATGTTGACAAAAAAATTCAGTAAACATTAGGTTCTTAAATAATATTAAGTAGAAAGTACAATATGACAAAAATTGAGTAAAATTAAATTGAAGTAATTAATAAAACTAAACAAATATGTACAAAAAAATGATCTAAGAAAGAAAAAATAAATGTGTAATAACCGATGTAATATGGAACAAAAAAATAAACATAAAAAAAAATATTGATCTTTGAAATAAACACTATTCGAAATATGTCATAATTAATGTACAAAAATGAGTAATTGGTTAAAAAATTAATAATAATATACCTTAACTATCATAAATCGTAGTATTATAGAGTGTTCTCTCAATAATTCGTAAGATCGTGTATAACATAGTGTTTCTTCCATAATCACAGTTAAGCGACGAGAGCCAAAAGAACATCTCACATATATGTACAGAAAACAAGTGTATTAAAAAACGTATTAAAAAAGCTTTAAAGGATTTAGAAAGTAAACGAAAACAGAATAATTAAAATTATATATATTTATTTCGTTATATATGATTACATATATGTATGTTACATCCAAGCTCCGCACGTATGGAAGGAGTGAACGCAACAGGAACCGAATTTTAGATCCATTTGATCGTATTCAGACTTTTGACCGCAAGGGGGCTGTGGGGAAGGATCTACGCAAATCGAGAGGCACTTCGCTTCGTCCCGAGGCTCTTAAGGAGTCGGGGATCGGGAGGATGAAGTGGAAATCTCACGCTAAGTGACAAAGAAGCTTCTCGACGGTCAAATTGAAGAGGATATGCTGCAATCTTGGATTCGAACACGATAGAATAATTGCGTAATGTTGAAATTAACACTTGAACATCGCTGATAATGGCTAGAACTGAATCGAAACGTTCGATATTATATTAATATACATGTAATACGATATTATAATACTAATATACATGTAAAATCTAAGAAATATAATTTATATGTAACGCTTAAATAACGGCTTCACAATTATGCTCTCAATCGCCTGGATCAATATATTTATTTGTTATCTCGAGAACTCAATTTTATCATATTTGAAATAAAATAATGAAGTGAAACAAAGAAAGTAGAGGAGAGGGAAACCGGAGAAATAGAAAAGTGCTGACTTACTACTGAGATGCACAGAACTCGGTACAACGCGACGGGGCCCTGTTGACGGATACCGCTGGCTTCTCGATGGTGATCTTCCGGTCAGGTGTGCGAGAGTAGTATGTGGGCAGCCATGGAGCGTCAAAACAAACCCCCACCACTTCACCCCTGGCGTCAAAACAAATCCCCCTCCACTTCCCCCTAGACGACTAGAGGGGCCTGTCTGGAAAATGGGAGCGCTCTGACTGGTTGGTGACGCGAGGGTGGAGTAATGAGGTAATTAAATGGCGCGTTACGATTGATTCCCTTCATGGTGGTCCACGCTACGATTGGTTCGCTCCATGGCTGCCCGCGCTACGATTGGTGAGGAAGAGTTCGAGTTGAGTGAGAGAGAGAGAGAGAGTGAAAATGAAAATGAAAAACCGCCAAGTCCGAGAAAATGGCGGAGG